AGATCCTTGTGATCTACATAAGAGACAGGGTATATGTCTACGATAGGGGGTGACTTCAACTTAAGGGAGAGAAGGGAGAAAAAGACTTGTTGCAGTCAGAAAGTTTAGCATATCTTGTGATGATGGACTATGGGAAATATCAGCTGGCGAGGATGCCTTGTGTTATAGCTCTCAGAACACTTTGTATTAAAATGTTGGTGTAAAAAAATCTTCTAAACTTTGTGTGCCAACTATATATCAACAGAAAGCAAAACCAGGCAAATCAAAACTTCTAAACGACCCTCCGAGGTAAGCAAGTAACACCTCATTCCTTAAGAAGAAATGGAGGTTGACGGGAGTGAAATGATCTGCCCAAGGACGCCCGATAGGGTAATGAGCTGGACCCAGAATCCAGATTCTTTCTGCCCCCAAGCACCTGTCTCTGAGCTTTGCTAGTAAAAGATGACCATAGAATCTCCTGAACATGGCCTTCAAGCGGTGTGACCATATAATTTATCATACAAACCAGAACACTTAATAAAAGGGACCACTCAGTAATTACAGCGGACAACAGGGCTAAACAGGATTGTGTCACTCCGCCTGGAGCGTATGGCCACCCTGTACACTACCTTTATATACTATTCTGATTTTCACATTAAACAGCACGATTTAAGACCTTGTGCTCTGTTTACCCTTTCTGATTTAGAGACGATCTGTCTAGCTGGATTCAGAAACTGATTTGAGCTTCCAAAATGTTTTAACTTGTGTTGTTTATGCACAAAAAATGAAGGAAGGTTACCCCTTCTACCAAGCTCCTACTTCCCGTGCCCTCAAATAACCCCACCCCCTCCCCCACACATACCTTGGGCAGATCAAATCCAGTAAGTTTCTGAAGATGGTTCAAGTAGGGTTATCTGAGGTGTATTTCCCAACCCCGCCTTCTGGACTCTGCTTCCCTGACAGCCAACCAGTCATGAAATCCTGCCCATTTTATCTCATGGGTTCCTAGCCAACATCTACAATTTTCTCCACCCCCGGAGCCACTACCAACCATCTTCATCCCCATCTGCCTCCTCACACAGACTGGTCCCTCCATTTAGTTCCCTCTAATCTCTCTCCACACAGCAGCTCGAGTGATTCTTCCAAAACACTCATAGCCCTCTTCTTGTTCTCAAAGCCCGGCAAAGCTTCTTTTCCCACCTGTCCTCTTCCAACTGCACAGAGGCACCGACATGCCCCTTGACCAGAGAAACAGTGATGAGGGAATGGGGCGGGGGGAGTGGGATGCAGAGCAGGTGCCCATCAGTTCCTTATTATCTTTTTAAGTATCAGATGAAATGAAACTTAATTTCTGGAAGCTTTCACACTAAACCTATCAAGACCCTTATAATTTAGTGATTTACCTCCTCTAATGAACTGTAGTCAACGTGAAAGCAGAGGTACCCTCAGTGCCTAGCACCATCCCTGACACAGAATAAAAGCTCAAGACTTAGTTATTGAAGGAATAAACGAGTGGCATCTGGGTAGCTCAATCGGTTAAGCATCTGACTTCGGCTCTGGTCTTCGTCTCATGGTTTGTGAGTTTGAACCCCACATGGGACTGTCTGCGGTCAACACGGAGCCTGCTTCAGATCCTCCGTTCCACCCCTCTCCCCCACTCATGCCTTCTCTCTCAAAAATGAACATTAAAAAAAAATAAATGAATACATGGATATGGGTGATTTAGAGTTGTATGTATTAAATAACAAACTTCCCTGGGCAGGTCACAAATACGAATTTTTTCTTTTAATGAATGCTCATTCATTTCTTAATACGGTTTTAAATCAATGTTTCCTACATTTAATGGGAATATATGTTGTTTTCTTTTTTCAATCAGTTACTATGGTGGCCAGACCTCTTATGTATTTTCGTAAGAAAAAAAAAAAGAACTATTTATCAAACTTCTAAAACACACTACTATGTGGTCTTATTTGGGGTTCAGTGGCTAAAATTCAAGAAAACCCCCTGACTAGAACAACAGAAGAAAATTCTGAGAAGTACCTGTACTGCCTTTGCACATCAGCTGGGCCACGCAGTCCTGGCCTAACAGATTCCCACCCTGGGGCCAACCATGGTGAAGGCTGGATTAGGGTGCTCTATCCTAGCCAGTCCAAGGAAGCCAGAGTTGTTCTGGCTCTGTCCCAGAGGGCTCCAGGGAACTTTCTGGACTTGAGGTGACCTGCAAACATCACCACTGGGGTGGCTTCTATCAGGTCATTTCTATGAAAAGGTGTATATTCCTCAGTGTGAGAGAAGGGCAGGGTTAGGAAAAATAATACACTGGATTCAGTTTTGTCCCACTCATAAATTAAAGGTAAAGAATTTCTGAGGGGGGAAATAAAAAGTATTTACCTACAAATTTGGGCAAAAGATAGAGCTGCCTAAACTTACCATCAGGCATTTAGACTGTTCTTGGACATTGCCATTCCCCAGGAGAATGTGTACCTTTAATTTAGGGCTAGTGGATGAACCCTTTATTTCTCTGTCAAGTCTTTGGTCAAACCCTCTTTATCGTATGTGTAGACTCATGTCAAAGTCTAGAGGGGTCTCAGTTTCATCCTAATGGATCTCTCTTTCATCTTTTGCTCTCCTATTCTCAGGACCATGTTTATCTTGTTTTTGAAGAAAAGAAACTCAGTTATTTGAGGGATCAAGCCCTCCATCCCACTCCAAGTCTCAAAAGAGGTACAGCAGCTTAAAAAGAAGAAATCAGTCCTAAGTTGCCTTGCAGAATATCTGCATCCAAAAATGACCTTAACGATCCTTCTGGAAGGATCCTTGTTTTAGCGACAGAACACCATAGGGATTGACAGCATGGTATGAATTCCAGCTTTGTTTCTGCTGTGTCCCAGCTGTGTCAGGTGACTTTCCTCACCAGTGAGATGAAAAAATGATCATGTCTCAAGGCTCTGGCCACTGTACGGGACATTTTCATTCCTATTCACATCACGGTAAGAAGACCAAAGCGTCTAGATGCTTGGCGGCTTTCTCAAAGTTGCAGAATTGTACGTGATGCAGCCAGGAATCAAATTGGGTCCTCTGAACTTCAAACCCTCTCTCCTAGCAAAGTCTACCTTCAAGCCCTTGGCAAAGTGTCACTTAAAACAAGGGTAGTGCTATATTGCAGATTAAAGGCAGTGCTAGATTAAAGTTTCCTAAGGGATCCAAAAAGAAAGAAAAAAAAAAACAATCGCTACATAAGACCATTCACATTCAGGGTATTCTATCCTATCTACTACTTAGAGCTACTGTCTGATATGCCATATGTTTTTTAATGTTTATTTATCCATTTTTTGATAGAGAGACAGAACGAGCATACAGGCTGGGTAGGGCCAGAGAGAGAGGTAGAGAACTCTCAAGCAAGCTCTGCACCATCAGCACAGAGACTGGAGTGGGACTCGAACTCACAAGCTGTTAGATCCAGACCTGAGCCAAGATCAAGAGTCCGACACTTCACTGACTGAGCCATCCAGGCACCCTGCCATATTTTTATAATGCTAAATACTAGTGTCACGATCATATATTTTCTGGATAAGTACTAGGAAGAAAGGCACAAAGCTTTTAGATCCTAAAGGAATACGGCATTGTTATTTGCCAAAGACTTAGTTCTCAATTTCTTCTTAAACATTTACCTTTAGAATTTAGTGACCCACAAAACACTCTTACCATTACGTAACCGCCCTGATGTGTCCTTGCGAAAGTGATCATGGTTTAGGGAAAGCAACAACTGTGTTTCATCGTATTACTAACTTAAATGGAGCAGGACAAATTCTCTCCAAAAGATGTTAATAGAAACTTTTTAAAAAACATAAAACAAGGTCCTTAAATATCTTAGCCACAAGATGCCAATAAAATTGAGTTTACGTCTAGCTTAATTCGACAATGGAAAAGTCAGCAGTTAAAGGGTAGATAAACTTCCCTTTGTCCCTCTTTTCCTGAGAAACTTTCAAATGTTGAAAATCAATTCCTTTTGTCCCCTTGTTATTCATCTGCTACACATTAAATAGAAACTCTGGGCATGGAGTGATTCCTGCAGGGTCTTTCATCTACAGAGAAGCCTGGTACAAATTAAACTCTTACTCTCCCTCACAAATTATAGATATGTATTGTAGTAGACCATTGATTTATCAGTTTATGCTCTTGCTAGTTCAGCTTGGTGAGACTAGCTCACTACAGTCCTTTATCTAAAGTTACTGCAGGGTGGCGGGTGAATTGTGGTGCTGCATTAATTAATGCAAAGCATTACTACGTTGTTCTGATTTTGCAGGTTCTATTTTAAAAAGCATTGTTAGATACTGTGTTTTAGTTATTTCTTGGATCCTTGAGCCATTTGGGCTACGTGTGTGTTTCAATATGCTGAAATGATACCAAATGATATTGCGATGTCTGCGGTGTTATGCTATGAAATGACCCGCATAATGCTTATTACAAATAATGGGGAGAAATGGACTGTGTGGAAGATCTCTCAGAAATGTTGAATTGAGGCAGTGCTGTTTTCGTGCTGGATTTTAGGACCAATAGTTAAGGAGGTGGCCGCGATCCCAACCATGTCATATGTCTTTGGAGAGCACGTCTGCACAGGACATCTCTATTAAACCCCTTGTATTAGAAGGAAACCACACACACACACACACACACACACACACACACACACACACGTATTCCCATGGCCAAGTGCTAAGAAGCTGTGAGAATTTCACTTGAATCTGTTATCCACCAAATATATATTCTATAAACCTTTCTTGGCAGAGTTGGTCTTTTAGGTCTTTATTAAAGACAACATTTGATCAGCACTTGATGGATTCCACAGGTGCCAGGACTCCCTCCCTCCCCCTCCGGTTTATTCTCATTTTGCCCTGAAGATTGGTTTGTCTAAAAGCCAATACCCGCTTTTACTTGGTATGGCCTCCTGGAATCCGGCCCGAGCGCTCGGCTTAGCGGAAACAATCTGCTTGCCCTGGAAGCCCTCCCTAGCACCTCACCTCGCTTGAATCCTCCTGCTGATTGATGACGGCCAGCGCGTCCTCAGCCGCCTGCCGCTTGGCCTCGGCCACTGTGCGCTCCATCTTGGCACGCTCGGTCGTGATCATGTCGTGGGCTTTCCGCTCGGCCTCAGACACGGCCTTCTGCAGCTCGGTCATCGCCTGGCGCTTCACCTCGTTGACCGCCTCCTCTGCGTGCAGGCCACACGGGACAAGAGAACATTTCCCTGTTAGCGCGGGACCTTGGATACGGATCGCTGCGAAACAGAATTCTACAGTAGGGGCGTGGCTCTCATCCCGGATCCTGGGCAGTTCTCGCGGCTGTCTAAGAAGCCAGCCGATTTTGGAAATTCATTTAGCAAAACAGAGTGTGGAGGGTTTTTTTTTTTACCTTTAACTTGCAGGTCTGGGAATATTTTTTAAACTACTACAGTACCACTTTTCTACCCAACTAGTACCTCCAGAAATGATTATGAGCCCAGACTTAGAGAGTTAAAGGACAAAACGACCACAAGAAACCTGTCTGGATAATTTAGACACATTAAGGTGGCTTGGAACAATGCTCTGGGGTAATAGGCACATAGGGAGTGCATGAGTAAAGCTTTCAGAAAGAAAGAGGAAGGGGATGGACTTCACACGCCTACACATATAAGTGCTGACAATTATTTTGCTGGTGAAACATACAGCACAACAGTGAAAGGGCATTCACGTGGCAACCATGTCAATGAAGACCCTGTCAAGAAAATCCAAGGTGAAACAGATGATCCGGCTTTTCTTTTTCCCCAGTGATTTCCTGGGTAATGTGGACATATGCCTGTACAGACTGACTGAATGATAGGGATTCTAAAAAATCATTTTCTCACTTCCAAATTTTAAGCCCTTTGTCCACCTATTCGATCAAAGACATGCACAGCTTCGCATAACCAACTGTTGCACTAGACAAATTTAATTGAATCCTACCAGAGGCCAAAACAATCAAGCCTGCCTACAAACCTGCAAGGTGTCAAATTAGCTCTTTATTTTTGGCTGTGGAAAGGGTGCAAAGATTTGACTAATGTACAATATGAGATTGACAACTGAAACAAGTAATTTCCATTTAAAAAAATTAACTGTTCTAATTAACAAGGGAAAATATCCTCCCCCTAAATTAGTTTATCTAATTTTCATCTTTATTCAAAGCAAAATGACAATGATTAATTGAAAATTTAATAAGCAGTAATTATTAACTTGGCAAACCTAGTACCAATTAACACTCTATTAAAACTAATTATGACATGTTTCATTCAAGTGTTTGCACTTAATTGTTTCACCCACTTAAAAAGCACCTTAATTAAATGTTCTGTTTAATTAAAAACATAGATTCCTAATAAAAATGTTTTACTGTAGATTAAAAATGTAAGAGATGCAAATACTCCTCCAGTTTCTTAAACGTCTGTGGTTTATTTCACACATCTATCGTCCAGGACTCAAGGATCATCAAAAGCCCTCCACTCGTAATTAGTTGTCATGACTTTTGTAGCCTCTGTCACTTTAACAACATTATATCTGAAGTTCTTTCATTTGCAGTTTACTCTCTCTGTTTTTACAAACTAAAATATAAGGGAAGGATCCAGACTAGAAATATTAACTAAAATATGTTAAGCCTTTGTTGGTTGCTTTAAGAGATGCCACTTAAAATCTGGATAGAAACAGAGCACTGCAGAGTTTCACCAGGAGGTGAAAGGATGCCTTTATTACTCTATCATAAACGACCTGGGGGACTAGGGAAGTACTGCCCTTCTAACTATACAGCCAGGGTCTAATTTAGTTTGAATATTCAAGGTGAATTAAAATTCTATCTAAGCGGTAATACAGGACAATAATTTTTGCTTACGATCAAAGCTGTAGCTTGACTAATTGTGTATGCAAATCAGGCAATTTATATTTAAATTATGCATTCCTATTCTAATCCCACAGGCATATACAGATCAGCAAAGAGAGTTGGTAGGACATTTGCAAGGTGCTTGAATATTTATTACCAACTGCAAACATTCACTGATCGTTTGAAAAAGAAATATACTGAAGAAAACACTCGGTTGTGATTTGAAAACCATCTTTATGTTAGATTCCCCCCCCCCCCAATTTGATGAAGACTGTTCATACCTTTAGTGTGTTCTGTCGCTTTTGCTGCTGCTTTTAAAAATACTAAGTGTAGGAGAAAACTGATGGGGCCTTCAACATTTGTTAGGATCCCAAATATTTAAAAAAATGTATACTGTTCTACTACATTGTTAAACTATTACTGGGGCAACATGTGGGGTGTGAATGGGGTCTGTGAGTTAAATACTATTAAATACTGTTAACGTCCTGATTTTGGTACTTGCGCTATAGTTCTATAGGAGAACATCCTTGGTCTCAGTTAATACCCACTAAAATCTTTAGGGTCAAAGGGCATCATGTATGTAACTCCCTCTCAAATGGTTGGCCAAAAATATGCATGACAGAAAAAGAAAGGGAGGGAAGGAAAGAGGAAAAGAAAGATATTAAAGACAATACAGTAAAATAGGGACAACTGGGTAAAAGGTATAAGGGAATTTTTTACATTGATTTGCAACTTTTCTGCAAGTCTCAGATCACTTCAGAATAAAATGGTGCTAAATATTATATGATATACTTTCATGCACAGGATACGCTTTTTGCAATTATAATTTTCTGTGAAAAAGGATGCACTGGTTATACAACATTGAACTGAGAGCTCTGCCCCTTTGATATTTTTCAAATACTCTAAGTGTTTTTTTTTATTTACTTATCTTTTGCCATAAAGGTATTAATACTTTGATTGCAAAGATACACTTTATAGGTTTTCTTCTAAAAAAAATTTTGCCCGCAGCAAAGTTTAGAATCTTGGGGGGAAAGCTTTCAAATTATAACAAGCAGAGTGCAGATGTCACATTCTGCCCTTGGTGGTTTCATCATGCTGGATGCCTTGACACTGTGAACACCAGAAATGCTTTTTAAGAAGCCTATAAAGATAAATATTATAAGCAGTTACTCAAGATTTCCAGATGAAACTGTCACCTGTACTTTGGAGATTTAATATACTCCTTAATATTAGCATCCATCCATGGAAAACTATCCCCAAACTGGTCTTAGGCAGCAGATTAGGAATACCACTGTGAGAGGAACACAAATTTAATTGACACCACTCTTAAGTCATATCTGAGATGGAAAACCTAAGATAGAATACAGGCACATTTAAACAATGTTCCAAGCATTCGTTTGATAAGGTTTAACCCTTCTTAGAGAGTACATGGCCACAATAAAAAGCATTGCTCTTTCTCTATTCGCAAAGCCCCCACCATGTCAAGTATACCCAGAATTAGTTTCAGAAACTCACAAAACAGTGAGGAAAAATAATTGGGGACTCAATAGATTACAACATGTTGGATTTTTTAAAAACTTGATTACGTGGAAAATACACAGTGCAGTTTTGAATCTGCTTCCAATTGCTTACCACTTATGGTAGGACTTCCTTTGTGCATAGCTATTCAAGTTGACTTCCCAACAAAGGTGGTGTATTCAGAAAAATCTGCTCTCACTTAATAGCAGTCACACAAAGACTTGAGCAGATAATAGCACAGAGAAAAGAATTTGGATTACACAAGACTTTACTGTCAATTTTTCTTTATGAACTATCACGGATTTAACTTAAATATACATAAATACGGGAAATACAGAGAAAGACTTTCTCCCTCAACATAAAATGTCATCCTTCTGCTTTCCAAAATGGCAATTCTTTATATCTCTTATTGGAGTAAGTTGCACTGACAGGTTAAAAATGGGGGGGAAAAGTGGCTGGAAAGAAGATGCAGCAATTCCTTTTCCAGACAGGTGACACTCAGCACATTTTAACAGCTTGGGGGTATCCCATGACCCATGTAGAAATCTTAGAGGTGATCCAATAAAACTGATAATATTATGCAGTTGAGCAACATATGTATTTAACCTTTAAAGTGAATAATCTATCTGATTTGGATACTAGACACGCAAGAGACTTTTCTGGTTCTCAATCTAAGTCACTAAGCTTAGATACTATCAGATTTGGAAAATCCTTATCATTTTTACAAAAACAGGTATTTCTTTTAGAAATCTATAAAAATACTTGGATACGAGCCAAATGATCAAAGTGTCAGCTTTGATTTATAGACACTTTGATCTATATACCCAAAACTATTGACACACAAGTGGGTCAAATCACAACCCAAAGAGACCCTTTCCCTTGACTATTTCTCCTTAATTAGGGTTCCTAAGCCCCTACACCCATGTGACCCTTTGCAGAAGTAGCATTCTCCAGTTTCTTAAGTCAAACTATTTTAACAGTCAGAGTTATGGCAGCTTAAAACCACAGTCTGTGTCTGTCATATCATCTTTAACTCCTGAAACAAGTTTACGTTTTGTTTCCTGAGTCAGGTTTTGCAAGGTTTTGACTGAACTTTTATAGTGCTGGTGGTCCACCAAGTTTCTGCCAGATCTGAATTTTTCAAAGTCAATGTGTCACCTAGAACTTGAAATCAGCTTCAAAAGGTAGAGGGGTATCTCTTGATGAAAATCTGATGGTGTATTTGGTAGGGTAAAACAGAAGTTGAGCAACTTGGTCATTTAACTTAGGAAATAATTTAGCTATGGTCATTGAGTATTAATTGGCACAGAAGATCAATTTTAGATATTGGCTGTAATCATAACATTCCAGAGTGCCTTGGGGCGCTTGGGTAGCTCAGTCAGTTAAGTGCCCAACCTTGGCTCAGGTCACGATCATGCGGTTTGTGGGTTCGAGCCCTGCGTCGGGCTCTGTGCTGACAGCTCGGAGCCTGGAGCCTGCTTCGGATTCTGGGTCTTCCTCTCTCTCTGCCCTTCCCCCACTTGTGCTCTATCTCTCTCAAAAAATGAGTAAACATTAAAAAAAAAATCTTGGAGTGCCTCAATAGTCAACTAGTTTTGATGAGATTTTCTTAAGAATTCAGGAGACATGCCAATTATATCTCAATTTCAAAAAATCAGGAAGAAAGAAGTATACAATTTAATTACTAAAACACTAATTTTTTTTTCCTTTAAGAATAAATTACACCTGGGTGGCTCAGTCGGTTAAGCGGCCTACTTCGGCTCAGGTCATGATCTCGCAGTCGGTGCATTTGAGCCCTGCGTTGGGCTCTGTGCTGACAGCTCAGAGCCTGGAGGCCTGCTTTGGATTCTGGGTCTCCCTCTCTCTCTGCCCTTCCCCAGCTCGTGCTCGGTCTCTCTCTGTCTCAAAAATAAATAAACATTTTAAAAAAATTAAAAAAAATAATAAACTGCACCTAAGCTGAGACCTCTTCTGCCAGCTTTCAGCCTGAAACCATGACAGCACCTGAAAAACAGGGGATTCTAACAGAAATATTGCCAGACGGCCAATTACCTGGCACCGGCAGATGCCACTAAAATAAAAACCATTCCGTGTTCTAATCAGGCCTGGTTGAAGAATATTAATTAGGATTTTAAAATTTTGGTTTGCGGTGGGGGACTGGTTTGTTTTTGTTGTGGTTGGCAGGAAAGGCCTCCTTCCTTGTCGCTCCTCACGTCGCTGCGTGAACAACTGCGCACAGCTGCCAGAACGCTAGACTCGTGTTGTCAACAGTTCTTACCAGCTTTCTTCCAGATCTCCTCTGGCACGTATCCAGAAGCAGGCCTGTGAAGGAATTCCCGATGCGCATCTAGGAAAAGGGTGCAAAGCGGGTGGGGGGAGAAGAAAGCACCATAAGCACGTCATGTCATTACACACAGGAGAAGCCGGCCATGCCCGTTCTCTTGGCTGCTCTACAAAAACATAATTTTAAAAGGCTGAGCATTTCACTTCTAGAAAATAAATGCAAAGAGCAAGGCCGGTCATTAGAGCTCAAGGAAAACAGAAGGTCATTGGTCTAAATGCTTTGGACGCTCGAAATTCAAGGACTTTAGTGATTTCATTATACGATGCGGTATCTCGGAGCTCTCTCACTGTGGGGATTTTGACAGCCATACTTTATTTTATTATAGAATATACATTGTGTCTGGTAGTTTTCCTTTTGAGAGTCAAATTGGTAGTTAGAAACTCAAATCTTAGGCTAATGTTAATTTTCACATGGCTCTGATTCCACCACCTTTCAGTAAATAGTGAGCCTTACTCCGTGGCTAACCAGTCCCCACAATTACCTCTTAAATATCTAGCTGACCACTAAACATTTTCACACAAATTACATCAAATGGCTTTGACAGGTGGAAGCCAGGAAGAATCATCAGAATGGATTCAGAGATATTTAGTTAACAAAACAGAATTAGTGCATGCTTTCCAAAAAATAAAATGACATCTCACTTTAAATGAAATGTGCTTATCATACTTGGCAAATTGTAAAAGTGTGAGAAAACATCATAATAAAATTGATGTAGGAATGCTACACGTTCACAGAAATGGCAGGACACCTTTAATATTTTCCTATACATCCTTGAAAATAAAGTGTATACAGTCTTCCATAGTTAAAATATACACAACCTGTCTTCCACACCAAATTTTCCCTGAAAGCGTATGTATTTAGGGGTTTAGGGAAAGAAATCACTTTAACTTTTATAAATAAAACAATCATTCAACCCATGATAAATTTCAAGTAATTAAAAATTTCCCTACATTTATAAGAAATGTCAAGTAGCAGAATACAGAATATAGAAAACAGAAAAGCTCAATCAATTTAGGTAAGTATATATCATTTTACATTTGAATGCCTTAAACAGATTTGAATGTTTTGATTCCTTGTAGGGTACACAGATTTATCAGCTGACTAAAACTGAAGATTTCCCCAACTATTCTGAATTAGCACAAGCTTATTATATCTTAATGAAGGGCATTTGGAAACTCTCTGTATTATCTCTGCAATGTTTCTTAAAATCTAAAATTAGTCCAAATAAATAATTAGTTTTAAAGTTTTCATTATAATTGCATGATTACTTGATAATTGGATGGACTGAAATACCCATGCATTCTCATGCACACATTGATTTCTATAAGGAAAATGATGAAAACCAAAATGTTTTTATTTAAGTAATTTTCATCCTTATAACAGCTAGATAAATGCACAACTTCAAGGAAATATGATATGGCTAATTAGATTTGTCAAGATTAACTTCCACACCACTATAACTATTTCCAGAAGAAATAAAGAAAGTGTAATCAAGTTCACATGTAGTCATATGACACAATGAAACAGAGATGGACTTATGGCAGCTTTTAAAGACAATTTTAAAGACTTGGGCTTAAGTATAATTTATTAGAAAAGAATTGATATGTAAAGTCTGAAGGCAAACAGGAAAATCATGACTTCTCCAAAGTAGCAAAAAAAGAAGTGTTTTCCAATTATTGGATTAAGAAAAGATCAATAGCTTTATAAAAAATGTATTTTTTTTAAATAAATGACCAATCGTTATTAGAGGGAATGGGAAAGGTAATATTAGATTATCCAAAGACGATGCATGAAAGATACTACTTACTGGCCCCAGAGAGCATAGGCGGAAAAAAGTTTGTTCTAGAGCCCAGTGAAGTTGAATCTCGGCTTTGCTACCTACTAGGCAGGTGACATTGAGTAAACTAGTTTCTCCAGGTCTCAGTCACCACACCTATAAAGTGGGGACACTAATACAACATCTGAGTGAACTGCTATGGGAACTGACCAAGGTACTTCCTACTGCACGCCAGGCACTACACACCCCAAACTCTCATTAGACATTACATGCTATTATCTTCATTATTATCATCACTGCTATTATTATTTAGTAGGCTGTCCAGTAAGAATGGATACTTATTTCCTCATTAAGAATTAAGGGGTGCCTGGGTGGCTCAGTCGGTTAAGTGTCTGGATTCGGCTCAGGTCATGATCTCAAGGTTAGTGGGTTCGAGCCCTGTGTCGGGCTCTGTGCTGACAGCTAGCTCAGAGCCTGGAGCCTGTTTTGGATACTGCGTCTCCCTCTCTCTGACCCTCCCCTGTTCATGCTGTCTCCCTCTCTCTCTCTTTCTCTCTCAGAAATAAATAAAACATAAAAATTTTAAAAAAATGGAATTAAGGTGAAGAAAACCACCTTAAAATTTCTTTTTTTCTCCCAGCACTTAAATCCATATAGCACAAAACTTAAAAAAGAAAACAAACAAAAAACTGTGAAGAGATTTGGATTAAGCAATATACAACAGTAATTTTTTATTCCCTGAGGATATGTCACTTGGGATAGAAGTTATTTACATAGGAATTCTCCGTCTTATTCCTTGTTGGAAAGTCCTCAAATTTCTTAAATGATACTTTTATAAATTTTATTTAAAACTCATGAATGTTTATAGCCCCCAGATTTACTCAAAGATGATGTATAAGGGTTAGTTATGTGCCAACTTCCTAGGTGCCGTACAGTCAGATTGTGATGGTCCATACACTGCAGAGTTGTGCAGTATTTCACCTTGGCTATATCTCCCCTAAAATTCAGTGACATATAGACTTACACTGCACCTGACCTGGACACCTGAAAGAAACACCAAAGTCAACCAAGAAAAGTTTTCTTAAACCCACTCTATCTCCTTAAAGAATTTCTTTTCAGGGGCGCCTGGGTGACTCAGTTGGTTGAGCGTCCAACTTCGGCTCAGGACATGATCTCGCAGTTCGTGGGTTCGAGCCCCGTGTCGGGCCCTGTGCTGACTCCCAGCTGACTGCCTGGAGCTTGCTTCAGATTCTGTGTCTCCTTCTCTCTTTGACCCTACCCTGCTCAGCTGTCTCTCTCTCAGAAATAAATAAAACATTAAAAAAATTTTTTTAAAAAGAATTTCTTTTCATAATAAGAGAAAAATCTAGAGCAAGTAAGTTATTTTTATAAAATAGACAAAGATTTATATCTATATATGTACTTTATAATACCCTCTCCAGTTTAAGTTACTGTGTCCTAGCTAAACATCAGGTCTACCAACCAAATGAATGAAATCATCAGTAGATGTACTCCTCAGATTCTATTTTTGATATACTGATGAATACTACAGTCACTACAGAAATGAAATGACTAATAAGTATATTACTATCTTCTGTTGAAGTAGCAGCAATAACAGTGTCTATACAGGCAATATTGAGTTTGAAAAACAAAAACATCCAGGGGCACCTTGGGGGCTCAGTCAGTTAAGCGTCTGACTCAATTTCAACTCAGGTCATGATCCCACGGTTTGTGAGAGCAGGCCCTACGTCAAGATCTGTGATGACAGCATGGAGCCTGCTTGGGATTCTCTCTCTCCCCTCTCTCTGCCACTCCCCCACTCATACATGTTATCTTTCTCTCTCTCAAAATAAATAAATAAAAATTTTTAAAAACCAAAAGAAACCAAGTTTTAAAAATTTGCTCAAGTTGCTCAATATGACGAGACAACTTCTCTCCCAGGACTTCCTTAGTATAAAATGTTGACTGATCTAGACAAACCTATGTAAAACACCTTAAGTTTTTAAGGCCCAAATTTTAAAGAAGCTAATTTTTAAACCATTAAATATTAACCACCTATAAAATATCAGTTGCTATAAAATGGAGAGTTGTAGTAAAACATAGTCATAGAAAGAAAGACAGAAGAGCCTGTAAGAGGTGGTTTAAAATGTGAAATGTATACATACATAACTACTGAAAGATGGCAAAATTGCAGAAAAGCCCTATGGCTCGCTTTGGGAAGCAAATTGCTTGGGGGCAAGAGGAGAAGAGGAGGAGACTCCGGAAGACAATGACACATCTATGAAAAGAGGAGACTGCGTCAAGGTGCGGGAGTTGTTACCAGAAATGTGAAAGAACAGAAAAACCAATCTACAATGTATGAGATGGAAGATGCACTACACTTACGAAAGAATGGAGACCATTGGATACTAGAAACATCAAGGGCCGCCATCAATATATATGAAGGGATGAGCTGATAGACTTTGAAGAACCAGTGGGACCTCATTTGACCCAGGACAGCAAGGCTCAAAACTTGGCAGCACCTAGGTATGGCCTTCATCCTGTAGTGGGCAGAATGAGGCTGAGATCATGATAATATCGATCACAAAAACCATCAAAGGAAAGGAGAGGTGAAGTGAATTCATCTTTATAAGTTCTACTTACTATTTTTAAGAATAATAAATTCAGACCCTTCAATATTATGTTTCAGAAGCCCAAACCAAACCGAGAAGCCAGAACTGCACTAGGACTTCAGTTTTTAACAATAAAAATATCTAGTGCTCGAGGAGGCAATCATCTTTTCTTGTTTTTAAAAGATGGGAATATTTAACTAATACTTTTATTAACGCATCTTTTTTAACCCAACACACTTAAATACAGTAGACACTCTCCTTAGGAGCTCAGCTGAATCGTCTTGAAATGAATTTCATGGTGTGATTCAAAGGCATCAAAATAAGCATATAAAACACTAAACTTTTATATGTAGATATACTCTGAATAGTGTTTGTGGTTTTTTATAATCTGCTGGTAAGAAATGATATATTTCTTTGGTTGGGAGCAAACTATTTTCCTATAGCCTTGTATTATGAACTAGGGCCCTAAAGGTACAACATATTTACTGAGTTTAAAACAGAATTTCCCTTTTCTACTTTTCCTGCCTGTTAAATAAAGCAGCCATCTAAAAAGTGGAGATATTTTCAGAACGAAAAAATACCTAAGAATCGACTCTAATTTTATAATCTTGCATACCACCAAGATACTGTACCACCATTATCCTTTAAAGTACTTTTTGAGATTACATGCTAGAAATAATAATAACTGCTATTACTTTTTATCACATCTACTATGGGCGGGGCACTGTATGGTTTATACCTATTAACTCATTTAATACAGAAACATCCCCATTTTATAGATGAGGAAAGTGAGGCACAGAGAGTTACTTGCCAAAGGTGACGAAACTAAGAAGGAGGGGAGTGGAAGTTTGAGTCCAAACAATCTGTGCTCCTAACCTTCATGCTACATTTCCTGAGGTTTTTGACAGTAATGAGAAATTCTGTGGTTCAATCCTATGATAATCATAAAGCTTGCTCACCAATGGAATTTTAAAATACCAATTTCCCTACCAATCTACTTGAGGTAAGGGTGGTATCAATTTGCCAAACTTGAAATTTCTGAGCTTTTTATGAATGATCGACTCGACTTTTCATTCCAATTAAAAGAAACAAAAACCTCATTCTGACATTTCCCTTTCTGGCTAGAGTTAAACCCTCACCAAAACACACATGAAGGTATTTTCAAAATTCCATACACTCTCGTCATAACATTGACACATTCAAAACACAGACACACACACACAGGAAAAATATATTCCTGTTTCAAAGATATATGTCTCAGGCTCTGACATTAGTCCATCATTAGATATTTCTTTTAATTGCAATGGTATAAAAAACGTCTTGAGAAACAGAGAGAAGGCATACAAATACAAGATGAGCTGTAGAAAGATTCTAGAACAATCCACAGGCAGTAAAAAGAAATTAAAGGAAATAAAATGTCAGGAGTCAAGAGAGTGATCTGAATAGCACACTGAGTGAAAAGGGGAATGGAGACAAAGGGTGGAGAAAAGCAGCAGCAGAGGGATCCAGAAAAACGCTGGGGGAGCCCAGGAGGTGCTAACGGGCAGCTACCTACCTGCATGTACCAAAGTAATTCTATTTCAGTGACTGTATCTGTCCATTCTGATGGCATTAACTTGCTCTTCAGTGAAAAGTCACAATGTCACAAAACTTACATGTACGAAGAACAAGCCATACTTTGAAAACAGAGACAACTGTGTTAAGAATTAGCTTTCTAACTTGAGTACCTGAACATTTGTGGAGTTTTTCCTGGAAACAGAAGAGTTAACAATAAAAATAATACAAATCTAAATCTCAAGGAAAAATCCATTACTTTGAAGAGTCCTTCAAGATATCAACCTGTTTTTGACTTAAAGAGTAGAAATAACATCACGGGTTCAGTATGTACTCAATTTTTAAATTGTTCAAGGGGCTATTCAAAAAAGCCTTTATTTAATATCTGGGGAAAAGTCCCAAAATTTAATTAGTAATAGATTAATCATGCTCTCTCACTAATCCCTCACACTGACTTAACAGTATGGACGTATTTCAAAAGCAAGAATGGGAGTCAGCTTAATAAGTATAACACAGCGGTCATGGAGGTTATGCTCTCTGTCCAGTCCCTAAATGCACTTTAAAAATGCTCAGAACGTGTGTGTGACTAAATGTTGCCAGTGTTTCCAAGCTAGGGAGGTAACCAAGGAAATATTTGGAACTAAAGATATCTCCTATATTATTGTTCTGAAGTTCTGCAGTCTCATTTGACCTTAGCAGCAGCTGCAGAAATGAGAGAATCGGTCTCAAAGCAACATGTGTACTGTAACTGTAGGACACGGAAATCTACGAGTACATAAAGCTGTAGACGTATCCCTGGCTCTTATCTATACACACACATGCCCCACTACACACTTTCCAGAGGCAGAAAATAGACTCATCAGCCAGTAATCTCCAATCCTTTCTTTACACATCAATACATTAAACTCTAAAACCTAGGAGAGAACCTTAGAAGGCGCTTAATATGAAGACTTGTGGTCCACGTTTACAAACCGGACCGGCTCTCTTAGAGCCACAGCCCAGCCCAGAAAACAAAACTGAAAGGCTTCGAGGCTAAGAAAGGACGTGCAATGAAATAACATGCGGGATGCTTAAACTTGCACATCATGTGGCCCCTGAAAAGTTACCTCTAAAGTTGTAATGGTTTCTTGAAAGGAAATCTAGGGGTCTGTGTCCCTAAGGAACATGACTGTGTGTTAAAAGAAAAGAGTTGGGGTCCAAACAAAGAAAGGAAATGCTTGCGGTCTTTGAATAATACCACCTACAAAAGCTTAATGCCAAAGCTACCTCATATTACCAAAACTATGAGCTCGTGAAGCATCTTGGGAAATAATTTGTGTACTCCTAAGAAGTTTTAGAACCAACTTTATTATTTTAACTAGCAGGGAAGCTACACCCATCTTCCGGAAAAATATACAATTGCATCACCAGAATGTGTATGCAATGGTGGTGACAATCTAATGTGTTCTAGACTCTGTGTGCTGAAAATAACAACACACTTCAGCGTGAGGTCCTATCAGCTTCTGAACTTTCTCTTTTACAGCAGGCAGCAGATAATGCTAATCTTGTCAGTTCAGGGGACCAAACTGAAGTGGTCCTATGGTACCAGGCCACCAGCTATGGCCCTGTCTATCTTCTCAATAGACTAAAAGTTCCTCAAGGGAAGAAAGGAATTTTTTTCCCCATTATCCCATTGCCTAGCACAATGCCTGGCACACAGTAAACATTCAAGAAGTAAGGACTGACTCAATGAATCTGTTCAATAAAGCAGGTTAAACTGAATACTTCTACTCCTCAAAATTGAGTTTAGTTTAAGGTTGTCAATTTTCGCCTACATTGGATGGTTAAAAATACCTTCCTTATTTGTCCTGAAAAGATCTATCATGATTAGCCAATTTTTGTTCATCAGAAGGAAAAGAAAACCAGCATGTGTACTCGGCTCGGCTCTGATTAGTTTTGTGTGGACCATTATTGGTTCAAACCTATTTTCATTGCTTGCCTTAACAAAATCTAATAAAGGCACATTTGTCTTTAAAACACACTTTAGAATAACACCCAGAGGGTAAAGTAAGTGACTTGGAGTCTTTCTTTATACAATACTTATACTGGTAATAGGCATTCAGCATTCAGCGATCAGCAGCAATCCACAAACCTAAGCACAAAGGAAACTTTACTACCTAGGAATAATTTTTAATAAAAAAAAGATACTATGATCCACTGCCACTATATACAGGTTTTTAATTTTTGATAATCAGCCATGGGCAATAATGAGGCCAAAGTCATGACCTTGATCAGCACGTGTATGCAATTAGTTCTGTTTGTGGTGCGGACTGCGCCCTAACCTGAGTTAGCTGACAGGTGTGGAGCTAAGCCAAGTAAGAAAACGAAATGATAGCACACAGATCAACACACATCCATCACCACTAAGCGCACTTGGATGGAACACACATGTGGTGGCCAGCGGTGTGAATGGTGACATCTTGCTATTAATTGTAAGGCAAAAGTTCACAGGCCACTCCAACATTCTCCCAGGTTCAGGATTTCTTTCCATATATTTGTGATGATATTTTATTTATAAGCCCAACAATGCTCATTTATTAATATAAAATATGGCTACGTATTAAGTATTCAACTTCTGAAGCACAGCTACATTGATAGTCCTATAACTAGTCCTATAACTAGAATTCATAAAGAATTTATGCGAGTTTAAGTCAAGGTCAAGCCACCGGACAACAGTGCTACCTTCATGACTAATTTGCAAATGGCAGTGGGGAAACTACAGAACTGATAGGTCTCTCTTCCTGGTTAAGTGTTTTATTAAAATAAAAGATATAGCTAGAAAACAAGGCTGTTTTAGAGACTGGGTCTTAAATTAAAAATCAGGCACCACACATCTCAAATACTGTGTGCAGCAGTTGATTTCAGGGCCCTGGAGAGCTTGCTAGAAGGTGCAGAAGGCTGGGGCCTGCACCCTGAGATGCTGTTCTTGCAGACTGGAGACAAGGTACAAACAGCTGTTCTATGAAGAGTGTGTGAGTGACACAGATGACATTCTGGCCAAGCTTTGAAGCCCTGTCCTAAGCCCAACAGGAGCCTGGAAAAGGAGGTTAAGTTCTGTGACCCGCTCTGTATAAGCCAATGTGCACCCGGCTCCCTAACGGAGAGACGAGGCCTATCTGGGGATGTCAAGTGTTTATCGTTCTAGAATGCCTGACATATCCTTTATTTTTGAAAGGACAGATCAAACATGAAATCAGCATTAAGACGGTAGGAAGTGTCTGTTCAGTATGTCCATCCAAAGAAACAGTACCTAATGCGACTGGGTCTGGGTTGACAGGACTCTGCTGCCGGGAGTGGCTGCTGCTGCCACCGCCACCCTTTTTCAAGTCCTCAGCGTCACTGTAGCGCCGGATCCAGTAATTCAGCTCCTCCCGGTCTGCTTCCTGACATCGCCTTAGTACAGTGAGAGATCGCCGTGTTTTCTCCACCATGTCCATTATGCAGTTTAACAGCTGTGTGAGAAACGGGGCACGGGGGAAGAACACAACAATCACCACAACGTAAAGACTCTGGTGGGCAGCGAAACTATTTTAGGACAATGAAGGATGTGATTTTATTCCTGAAGGCTTCAGTCTAGTATTTTCAAAGGTCAGATTTGAAATGGAGACCCAACAGATGAGTAAACTCAATGGGAATGAGAGTGAAACGTGGGAGGCGTGAACATGACTCATGACAGAGATTTCAGCTGAAGGCACACAGCCAGCTTCCAAATACTAATCCCATTACTGTATAAACCAAATGACCCGTTTGCAATAAAACAGGAACCCACTGATCGGGCTTTGTGGACTCCTTTCCACGACCTCCCATCTCTCTTATGTTAGTGGCTTTGATATCAATGTAGACATCAAATCCTAGATTTTACTTCAAATATTCCCACTCTTTATATTTTTCAAGGAGAGCACAAAACATGATACCCTCAAAGGATCCCCAACATTTCTATTTTGTCACAGAACTCCAGTCCTTTTCAAAACATATTTTAACCTAAATGATTACCGACATCTTACATGGTCAAGATGTTTCCATTCCTCTGCCCATTCTCTGTCTGTTAGTCTGTGATCAATCATTTCTTCTTGACGTGTGCCATGCAACCCTATGAATGTAGAGAAGAAGGCTGAATCACATGAAAGCATTCGGGACATAATCCATATGCACACAGGCACTTAGCAAAGACTAAACTAAATGATGTGAAAATACATTTGATTGTGAATGGAGACATAAGTCATACTCAGATTCACAATTACCTAATGGGTTCTTCATCGAATGATAAAATGTTACAACTAAAAGGAATTATAGAGGTCATCTGGTCAGAATGCTTTCTTTTACATATGAAGAATTGTGGAGTAAAGTGACACCAAGCGCTTAGTCCATTATCCATATGATTTCCCAAAGTGAAAATATAAATATATCCTCTTAACAAACACAAGAATCCACAAGCAGACATTCAGTAGTGTCAAAGTGTACCTTTCTAGCATTAAAAATAAAGACAGCACAGAGTTATGCTTTTCTAAAACAATCATGGTAAAATTTCTCAACATTTCAGCATGGGTGAAGGAAAGGACACAATCCTATTGCATAGATCTCCATGATGAAATTGAGCCATGAAGACACGGCTTGCACAATGTGAAAGCGGTGTATACTCACTCAATTTGCCAAAGCATAAAAAAAAGAAAGAAATTGGACATCACTTATGAAAAAATTCAACACACCATATATAATTTTGGACAATACCTTCCATCCAAGCCAAGCAGAATAAAATCCCAATTTGTAGTCTCTAGCAGTAAGTATTAATGCTCTTTCACATCACAGTTAAGGCACACCCCAAAAAAGTAGCCTGGAAATGCGCACCAAGGAAGGGAGCAATGACAGCAATGGACATGAGCAATTAGGGAGGAGGGTCATCAAAATGGAAAATTAATGTGTCTCACGAGAAGACAGGGTGGAAGGCTGTGATCAGAGATGCCCGGAAACATGTTGCTTCTCCTGCAAATCCATCATGGATGAAACAGCTTATTGTCCACTATAAGGGAAAGGCACTGGACTATGGCAATACTTTCCATTTTAAATGATTACAACTCCTTTTTGGTTGGTACCTCACACACTGTTACTGTCAATAACAAATTAAATGTGGTGTGGTTTGGGCTTCTGGGCACCCAGGCTCCTTCTCAAGAGGGCAGTGGGTAGGAGTTAAAGGACAATAAGAGTTATGAGATATTACACTTCACTTTCTGTGAAATCAGAGTGGTTAGAAGTCCCCTCTTTTATCTGATTTGCAGAAATAAAGATGACGAGTCACTTGACTCTTTTTAAGCCAACCATGGAATGCGATTTAATTTATAGCTAATAGAAGGGAATACATGCCAGTGCTTTCTCCCATTAAATAAAGAGCTAGACATAAAACACTTCACATAATTCTTGTCTAATTAGAGCATGTTCGGAGATTCATTTTTAAAGTTAAAAATGTCAATGCCACCTATTGGTAAAAAAGTAAAATTGCAAATATGTGTTAATAATTTGCATAATAGAAAAGACATTGGGAGAAAGTAATATTTAGTTACTACTCTGTTTGTTGTGACTAGTTCAAGTTGAAATGTTTGCAAATATGTAATTTTTGTTGACTTATTTGTTGCTTGTATTTTAGGGAAAAAAACCACTACCGTTGAATGAGTCATCACAGAAAACAGAGAGTGATGAAGATATAAATATGGCATCGACATTCACAATGGAAGCATCATACTATTTGCTTTTAAGGACCAAGAACTCCAGAGGTCTCGAAAGTTTCAAAACTTCCAGGATGCTTGGGGTGGCTCAGTTGGTTTAATGGGCACCTTCGGCTCAGGTCAGGATCTCACGGTTCAGGAGTTCACGCCCCATTCTGGATTCGCTGCTATCAGTGAAGAGCCCGCTTTGGATCCTCTGTCCCCTTCCCGCTTTCTGCCCTTCCTCCACTTGTGCTTGCACACTCTCTCTCTCTCTCTCTTAAAGAGACTTAAAACACTTAAATAAAAGTTTCAAAAATTCAGCAGATCTAAACCAGATGATATTCAGATAAAATTCAGAAACCAGATAAAACTCAGATGATACAAGCTCTAACACCTGAAGTAATATTAATAAGCAACAAGATGTCTGTGGCTAATGAGATGCCAACATTTGTAAAAACCTAAGCTTCATCTCATTAAAAAAAATGTACATTACAAACATGTTTGAGCCCAAGCACTTGGTGAGAAAATACATCATTTGTGCTTCTGAACTCTGAAGGTCATTTGTTAGATAGAATTGAATCTTTAAAAAGGAAAAACTAAGACAGCTCAAAATTTTACATTTATTAATTTCTCTATTTCAGAAATTTAAATATTCATTACCACAGGTTTTAATACCAGAAGAATATACTATGGGAAAATGGCTCATAATCATTAAAGGGCACATTTTCATTTGTGGGCAATTTGACAATAATGTTGAATTCTAACTGGTTCTTACAGAAGATTTTAGCTAACTAGACTAAAACTCTAAGTTTTCTTATAAATTAATGCTGCTTGTAAAGGTATTTTATTAATTAAAAAATTCTAGTGAGTGTATATCTCTACATATCAGGCATTTATAAGTCATACCAGACCAAGTATACATTTATGACAATTTTTATATTCTCAAAATGGCAGCCTGATGTAACACCATAATTTGTTACTCATACATCAAGATTTTATTTTGCATTAACACACACTAAACTCTGCCAGACTTTAGGGATGGTTAAGTAGTTGCACATATTTATAGAGATTAGCACTATTAGTTTTATAAGCTAATATAATTAAAAGGTAAGGAACGTGGTCTGAAGAAAAATCACATAAAACCAGTGGGTACAGATATAATTCATAAAGGAATATTTTACATTACTAGATGAAAACATAATCATTGCACATAAGCATAATTACTTCCGTGCTGATTACTTTATAGTGCACTGGAACTAATATTTTATAAAACAGCATTTGCTGCCTAAGAAAGAGGCCATTTCTTAACACTTACAAGAGAAGGATATCTTGAATTGGTCTCACAATGAACTGGTGACTCCACTTCTATTTAAAAATGAGCAATTATGATTTGGGGACATGAACTCCTAACCGAATGACAGGGCTTTTGCTTAGAAGGAGACTGTTACCCCATTTGATTTGGGGGGTCAAAATACTGATCCAGATTGAGAAGAACAACCATTTTTGAGAACTCTTCAGAAATGGTACCGGAGAGAACATTAGATTGGTTATTAGGAAAGCACAAATTATATGCTTAGCCATTTGTTTGACACAGTGTGTAAAAGTACTGTTGTGGGGCAACAGAACTACTGGTTTACTATATCTCACAACCAGGGCCTCAATTGCCCCTCCTCTCACCCTGACCCTCCCTTTCTACTTTCTGAACATTTGGAAGATTAAGTTTTATCGAAAGCCAAAAAGACCCTAATGTGGCAGCCCTGCTTACTAGCAGCCTCATGAGAAACTGAAGAGAAACTTCTGCCCGTCACGCTATCTCTGCCTGTGGCTAAAAACACTATCTCTGCTATTCGAGCAGCGGATAACTGGCTGGCTGTGTTTCCCTAAATTCTGCATTCGCAGCTCTGTGTTCTGGTTTCTCACTTAGACTTCATCCCTTGCTGTTTTCTCCATCCTGTCCGCCAAGTCCACCACGTCAGGAAAGTTCGTCAGCAACTAGCTGACTAAAGTCCTGCTGGTATGTGGTGTGGACACAGGAGATGGAAAAGGGAGAAAGGACTGACTATTGCTCTCGGTTTATAAACAGCTCATTTCACCAAAAAAAGAATTACAAGAGCTCAGGAGCAGGGCTCTGACGCCGAGTGTCAAATCTTACCTTGTTCACCTTCCATCTTATGTGTCATGGTGGGCACCTGCTGTTTAGAAGGCAATGTCTCCCTAAATGCTTCACTTCAATAGTTTTATGTAAAGAAGGAATGAACACAGGCGAATGGAACACATATTTACCCAAACTCATTTTTTCTTTGGTACTTTGATCTATGACACCAAACTGTCAATACTAAATTCAATCACTGTCACTTTCAGGTGAAAAATGTACCAAATCATTCCTCAGAGAACACCTGTTGATTTAAATCATGCCATGTCATACTTTTCAAATACAGACTATCACACAGACTGGAAAAATCAAACTGAACCCCCGAGACTATCTGGAATAAAAGTACAATGAAAGAAAATAAACATTTTATCATTTAAAAAAATATCTGTGGCGGACAGGCGGCATATGAAATCTCTAATGTTAAACTAAAAATTCATTTTGCATTTGTGGAGGACTTTATATTAATTTAAAAAATATTAACGTTTATTTTTGAGACAGAGCATAAGCGGGGGAGGGGCAGAGAGAAAGGGAGACACAGAATCCGAAGCAGGCTCCAGGCTGAGCTGTCAGCACAGAGCCTGACGTGGGACTCAAACGCACGAACCACAAGATCATGACCTGAGCCGAGGTCGACACTTAACTGACTGAGAGACCCAGGCACCCCTACTATTAATGTAGATGCCCCCTTCCACACACACACACACACACACACACACACACAAAAGCCTGCTGCCATGACAACTGTAAGTAGTTGAGAGAGAAAGCACAGCTGTTAAAGAACATATTAATACTAACCAAGTGTTCTGATAAAGGAGACAATATAAAGAAATAAAGGAGAATTTTTACCCCTATCACAGACTTCAAGCCTCAAGTTCCGTTGAGAAGTAATGATGTGAGTCTTTGAGTACCCAATCCCTTAAGAAATGAACATATCCTTCAGTCTTACCCATAGGTCTGTTTCTGTCCCTGAGGTCCCTGTGGCTGGGGTGTCGATAGGAGTCCCTGTAGTGGTGGGCAATGGCCATATCATCCAAACGGTAATGCTGAGGTGGAGGTGGGGTGGGGTGAGGCAGGCCATTGGGCTGGTAAGACAAGCCGTTATTTGGACTGTACCGCTGGCCTGGGCTAATAGTGCATGGTCGCTTGCTTGGATGTTCTGAGTGCAAAGGCTCTCTGTCAAAGCCATTTTCTTTGGTTCTAAAGGGGGAAGAAAAGAGTTGCGTCATGTTACTCAGAAGCCAGCATAGTTCAGACACTCACATTTGAACTTACAATATAAACAGAATACTTCTTTATTGGCCAGAAAATTTCTAAGCTCAGCTTCCCAGAAGACCTATGGGAATTCGCTGGAATCCATACTGAGGCCTAAGTAATCACAAGACAGCACACATGAGAAAACGAGTCTACTCCTCATCAAATTAGCAAATATCTTGTCAGTTGAAGCTCATGTGGCTCGGTCACAAGTAAGAGAAAAACCCAACCTCCCTCTGAGGTTAACACTTTCATTCAAAAATGAGTACCTGATTTCAAACAAATTATCCTAAAACTGAACTGTCTTTGGTGACCGTTCATCAAGGTAGAATGGCGTCACTTTCTTGATGAATTCTTAAAGGGAGCCTATTATTTATCCAACGTCGCATCTGACTTTCAGGTCAGAACATTTAAGAGCTGTGTTGCCCAATACACTGGCTACCGGCGGCTGTTTAAATTTCACTGTGAGCTAATGCAAATTACGTTTAAAATTCAGCCCTTCATTAGCAGTAGCGATGTTGCGGGTACTCACTCATCACCTGTGGCAATGGTATTGTACTGCAACGTCTGGGAGTCTGACATTGCCTTTGTCACCAAGGCAGTCATCACAGCTCCCTGGAAGTAAGCCCCCTTAAAGCAGAGGAAGCTCTCCCAGAGAGCTTATGTGGCCTGTCATCAGGTCTCAGGGCAAGATGGGCACACCCTAACCGTACTTCATGACGTGATATGCAGAGCTTTGAACTTGGCTTTCAGAAGGAATACAGTCTACCAGTGAGCCCTGATAAGTAATCACTGCTCCTAGAGTCTCAAACAGAAATAGGGCTAAAGACATATCTGGGGGCTGGCTATATCTCTATTCTTAGAGACCCACTCAATATATTCAGTAAGATAAGAATGAACGACATCCAACATTGACTGAAATCACAGCTCCTAAATTAATTGTTTCCTTTGTACTTGGCTCTCCTCACAAGACCCGCACTCTGTCCGAGGACCAATGATAATCCCTGTTTTCCCAGGGAAATTTCCCCACAAGAATTCTACCAAGTCACAGTAGCTGTAGATTTCCACATGCCTTTTTGATTTTAGGTTGGTAACAATAGCACAGAGGCCTTTTAAGACAATTTTCCTAGTTTCCTAGTGTCCAGAATACTCTGTCTGATGATACCAGAGGGGTCTGTGGCGAAACTAACTCAACAACAGAGATACAGAGATTAGAGCAATAAGATTCTGCCGTGAACAATCCTGTATGTTGGGAAGCATGGAGGAGTCAGAGACAGAAGGCCCAAGCACAAAAAGAAATGAATCCCTGCAGGGTTTAATGTGAAATGAATATATGCCCACTACATGCTGAAGAAAGATGGACTGTTCAAGAGACAGGAGCCTGGGTGACATTGGAAATGACAGCAGGGCATGGTCCTTGTGACAGTGGCAGCCGGAAGTCTTAATGCTGCTCCCATCAGAGTATGTGTCTGAAACACATGGACTCCATACATACTGATCATCGTTGATATCAGACTAAAATGCCCAATGTATCTCAGACATTACCTAAATGCACTGCTTTAAAATAATTTTCAAAGTGAAAGGGAACATTCTAGCTATCTATTTATCTTCTCAGAATATATTTATATCATTCAAATCTGTATTTTCATATCCTATACATTTCTGAATAATACACTTCAACATTCAATGCACATTACCAGCATAAATCAGTTGGAAAATACTGAAGACTATTAGCAGCTACGAACATAATGCTAACACAGCACCTACCTTACCGGCAGGGTGGTGTAGTGGAAAGAGCACTGGACTGGGAATCAAGAGATCTGAGATCTAGTCCTGGCTCTTCCACGACTAGCTGTGTGACCTTGGGCAAGCCACTTAACCTCTCTGGACCTCAGTTTGCTCATCTGTAAAATGAAAGGGTTGGACTAGATCAGTGGTTTTCAAACTGTGCCACCTGAGGTGCTTTTAAGGGATTCTGCAAGCAATGAAGAATTTTTCCCCCAAACAATCAAGGTTTCAAGGGCCAGAGGAAACCTCTTATTCTTCTCTGTTTTACCAGTTGGGGTTCCACCTAAGGTTTCATTTTAAAGGAAAAAGTCTGCTGCTAATAAATATCAAGTTTGAAAACCACTGGACTAGATGATTTCTGAGGTCCTTCCTAGTCTGAAAACTCTGCAATTCAATTATTCTGTTTATGTCAGTTATGTCATCAGGGTTATGATCGAAGCACACAGAGCTAATGGTCCTCTGGCCCAACTGTGTCAGTGTCAACCACTTTAGGCAACAGAGAACTTCTCTGTTCTTTGCTGTGAACAATTTATAAATATTTGTAGCTGATTTTTTTGTGCAAAAATACAAAATACCCTCTAAATACCTTGTAGTAGCCCCTGTTGCATTTCTATCCTTGTTCAATAACAACACACAGCACTGGAAGAATTCTTATAATTTTCCACATGGTGGTTGGATATGTTATATACTTCAACATCCAGATCAGCTGTCTGATCAGTGCTATTACTTCGATGACCCATTATTATGAAAAAAGAAGGTTTTTTTTCCTCCCTAAAACAAGGACATCGGTATCCTAAGAAGCAGGGCTAGGTCCTGAGTCTGTCTTCCCATTTCTCTCAGGTCCCTGCTGTCCTATCCTGGGTCCCAGGACTCTGCTAGCTATTGAAACGATGAAGCTGATCCCCTCATGAAGTTAGCTCTATTTTGCCAGCAAAGCATTAAAACATTCACGGCTCATAGAAACAAAGCTATGAAGAGGTCTCCCTGGTGCCTCCACAAATCACCCATGTCCAGGTACAAGGGCAACCCTATTCAAAGGATGTATGTCCAGAAAGGTAACTAAAATATCGCAAGTGCTATTTGTCGTCTTCTTAGAAATGCCAACAACTGTCTCCACCTCATTTGCTTCAGCAAATTCCGAATTAGCCCTTTATATGTTGCCCTTTCAAAGTGTATCAGGCTAAACTAACAAATTATCCCATTGCTTTTCATTGTCCCGTACCAGCATATGGGACTCAAATAACTCAAATTCTAGTGGGAAGTCTGTCACGTCTCAAGAGATTTCTGGAAGGCATTTTTTGTTTGTTTTTTAAATCAGCCTGAGAATATTCCATCTCCCCACCAGGAGAAATTTTCTTGAACATAACCCAACTACTTTACCATTTGGATCCCAATCATTTCTCTCTCAAGAGTCTGATGGCCCTAAGCATAGAGGGCCATTCAGGACTCAGCTGTGTGACCTTGGGAAAGTTAACATTCTGGCTTCAGTTTCCTGCCCAATAAAATGGGACGAAAGGGAAATAATGTTTGTTAAAACAAAACACAACAAAGTTTAAGAGAAGGCCTAATTTAGATGTTACCCATCTCAGGCTGGAGCCCCCACACCAGCTTTTCAGTAATAGAGGCTGTGAACCGTTTTTAAAAAGAAAACACATTTTTAAAACATTTTCCTCTACATAAAGGGTTTCAAAAGTTATGATGGACTAGGGTGCACTGATAATCCCTATTTATATAGAACAGTGTAACATTCAAGGAAATGAGGGAAAAGGAAAAAGTTATTACAAAAAATCATGACAATAAACAGAACGAGAGGACCAATCTCCTACATGACTTGAACAGGCATGTATTTTTCCAAAAAATAAAAAAAAGAAGATTGTTTTTTACATGAGGAAAATATCACTATAAAGATTGTTCTAGAGAGATGCAGGGGCGCCTGGGTGGCTTAGTCGGTTAAGCGTCCGACTTTCGCTTAGGTCATGATCTCGCGGTTCGTGGGTTCGAGCCCCGCGTCGGGCTCTGTGCTGACTGCCAGCTCAGAGCCTGGAGCCTGTTTCAGTCTATGACTCCCT